TGGTGAACTATGACAATGTAGTGGACACGGGCTCCGAAACAGATGAGGAGGACAAGCTTCAAATTGCCGAGGAGGACGGGCTGGCAAACCCTCTGGACCAGGAGAGGAGTCCAGCTGGCGTGCCCAACCATGAGTCCTCCCCGCACGTGAGCCAAGCTCTGCTGCCCAGAGAGGAAGAGGAAGATGAGATAAGGGAGGGTGGAGTGGAACATACCTGGCACAGCAGCGACATTCTGCAAGCCTCTGTAGATGGTCCAGGTAAGTGTCAGAGACGACTTGGCCCCTGCCTGTGCCATCTTACACTAATCTTTCCTACCTAGGGGAACGTCCACAACCAGATAATTAAAATATTTCTTCCCATGGCCCTCACAGCGTAGAGATACCAAAGCTGGTGACAGATTATGAAGTGATAGCAGCGTTATCACATTTCACCACTGACATCTTAGGAAGGGGTTATGTTTCGGTGCTGATGCACGTTGCTTACACGAGCTACATTAGAAACCCACAACACGAAGTACCTGCAGCAGGTGTGTAATGTGCGAACCACAGAGCATGATCAAGATCTGTACATTCAGGATAGAACTTGGAAACCATGTAAGAACTCACAACTGACATAATCTTGAAAGTTTTGTGTGGAAATGGTGTAGCAATATCAACTAAAGAGCTGCCAGTTTAATGTTGTTGCAGTGTCTGTCTGACACCTCCTGTTCTAATCCGACCATCTAATCATTCTCCTTTGTTAAGTGTGAATGTGATTTCACACTTTTACCTGGTCAGGTAGCTTTTTTATTATTTAACAGCTAAGCACTTGATAATGATGCCCGGCTATTTGGCGGGAATCTCTGGGGAAGTAAAGGTGGTTCAAGGCCAGCTGTCATAAAAGTAAGGTAAATTATGTCCAAACTAAAACTTCCATTTGCCACTGGGTGAATGGAAGTGACTTGGTCTAAGCTCACTTAGGATGGAACATCACTAAGGTGTGAAATGATTAGCAAAAGAGAATTAGTCTTAGTCCCCTGAATTCCCTCTGCTCATCTTTACTTGGGAAGGTGGCCTATAACAATTTTTTAAATGACTCCTAATTCACCATTGTGTCTCCTTAATCTCTATTCCCAGCACATGGAGAAAGCTATCATGGTTTACCCCACCTTTTTTTTTTCTTTACAATAAAAATAACAGTGTTTTATAGATAGGTGAAGTGAGTGGGAAGGGAAAGAGGCACAAGTCTACCTTTTGCATGCCAACTATAATAGAAAATTAAAATAAAAAGTCTACCTATATGCTATTGTGATGTCGCAGACTATAAAAATTGAACGTAGGCAGAGGAATTGCTTGGTATTCTGGAAGGAGGAAAATAAAAGCACTTCCACTCACCAAAGAAATTAAATGTGGAGGGGAAAAAAACACAGGAGAAAAGACTGATGGCAGTGTGAGTGCGGAATATTTGTTTTCTCGTTGTCCTAATATACGGTGCCAAGTTTTGTACTCCTTCTGTTTCCAATTTTGCTTTCGGTGAAGGTTTCTCGAATCTCAGCAATCCCACACATAAACATTTATCGTTATATCCATTAAGTCTTAAGGTTTTAGATTTTCAACTATGAGGGAGAACTCAGCCAAAGATGCTTGAAAGATAAATACGTTTAATTAGGGGCAGAGGATGATCATTAAAGGAAGTCTGACTGCTGCAGAAGTCATTAACAATCTTAAATGAAATTTTTATTTTTATGATAGCCATTTACATGTATAATAAGAGCCAATGATTCTTGGGAGCAGTGTGACAGAAAAAGAGTGTGGCGAGAACTCATGTAAGACATACTATTTAAATGAGCTGGTGTTCGCTATTCATATTTGTTAATGAACTAGATATGCAGGGCTATAAGAATGAATGTTCTGATGCTTTAAATTTTAATATCTAGAAATCAAGGGTAAGGACCAATTACTCGAATTTCCACCCTTAAAGGAATAATTAATAATGATATAACAAATGTGCCGCTCCAAACTTCTAAAAAAAAAAAAGTTTAATGTAAAAAAATTAAGATTGGTAATTGAAAAACAGCCCAAACACCAATGTCAAGCTGTAGTAGTGTGTGACCATGGCAGCTTTTCTGTGCTGGTCATGGATCATGATTCTAAATGTTTTAATATACCACAATCCATATGAATGCCTTACAAACCCTGTTAGCACCTGTGGTTAATGTTGCCTGAGATACAAATGAACAGGCTGTTCTTTTCTCTTACCTTTATGGTAAATAAACTAGCATTCTGGAGTCACAATAATTAAATAAAATGTAAATCCCTAATCTCATTGGGCTATTTGGACCCAGAAAGTTACCCGGCTATTACCTGTCTATTTCTAATGATTAGTCATGATTTATTGTCCTTTTTTTTTTTTATTGTTCCAAAAGTGGTGCCTTGATGTCTAATGAAAAGAAATTGGTCTTAAAAAGCTACTCATTGTTTATCCTGACTCTTAGATAACACATTTTTCTTCTGATAAAATATTTTTTTTATTTATTGTTCAAAACGCACACTACAGACAATAACTCTAATTCTGTTGCTGTTTTATTTAGTAGTGTTTTATCCCTGGTGCCTGGCTGTCTACCGTCCTACCTCAGCACATAGCTTCACTCTGAGATAAGCCCCTCTCCCTTGCTCCTGTTCCCTGGCTCCCTGTCCTTTGTCTGCAGGATGCAGGTTTTGAGCTGAAGAGCGCAGTGGAGTTCTTACTGTGCCTTTCCGGTTCCAGCACAATCAGAGTTTTGTGTTTAGAATTGTCCTTGACATTCTTTTGTCCCACAATGGGGTGGACACAGTGTGCTGGAAACCATGACATCATTATCACTGACACAGACTTAAATAAATCACCTGCATCTTGGCCTCTTTCTGCTTATTCAAGGATTCTTCATCTTCAGGAAGAAAGTGCCCTTTATTTTTACAAACCTTCATCCCAAGGGTGACTGGAAAATGCAAACTTTTACAAGTGTTTTAAAAATAAATATACTATGTGGTTTCAGACACAGTGTGCTGAGTCAGAGGTGTCTTGGAAAATGTTTAAGGTTAGGCATGAGGCGGAAAGACAGCCAGGACTGCCATTAATTCAGAGGGGATATTCCTAACCTCAGAATTACTTTTTTTTCTTTCCTGAGTCTGGGTCACGTGAAACTTAATTAAATAGGCAGATACATAGTGTTTCAAATACATACCTGGAAAGGCATAGTGTTTCATTTTAATAAATTGAGCTTGGAATTTAAAAAGGATAGGTTGGTGCTCAGCAAATCGAAGCAAAGTACATTCTAGGTAAAAAGTGACACCATTGCAATTGCACCATCTTTGATAAAAGAGGGTAAAGCTAAAGTTACTGCAGAGTCCAGTAGACACAAATTGCCGACTACACATTTGTACACCCAGCATTTAATAATTTGGGAAGCAACCACCTACTGTAACTTCTCTTTACTTTTTCATAAGAAAATGACAATGAGGAAGGAAGTGCAGCAGAAATCTTGAACATTACCACTATTATGCAAAAAAAAAAATGCTGTTAACTGTTTTCCCCTCAGTGACTTGATCTCTCAGATGGAAAACTTATGATACTTCTGACTCTTAGCTACCAGAAATCACATGAGAAGAACGAGGAAGAAAGACACAAAAGCTAAGCTATATTTATATCTAGTGCTGAACTTCTGAGAAATACCTTAATTTCATTCCTTGCAGAGACTGATAAAAAATATCAGACGAGGGAGCCTTTCAACCGATCAATTATTACAATTGACAATACAATTTTGCTATATACTGAACTTCTACATGGTTTATGCAAAATGTCTCTGTGAAAATAGACCTTCAATAAGAGACAAATCCAGGTCCAAGAATAAATTTAAAGTGGTTGTACAGTTTAAACAAATACCACTCAAATGTTCTGACTGTTATATGTTCAGTGGCATTAAATTAGCATCTATTTATTTTACCTATCAAGCCCATGATTTTTCAGTTCTGAAACCAGAAACAGACAAGCTGCAGGTCACTAACTGTAAAACATCTATTCTGATGTTGCCGTAACATTTGCTAGAACTTGTTCTTTTATCAAATGATTGCGACTAAAATGTGATGAGCAAAGGATGATTAGAATAAATTCGGGAACTCAGAGACCCGTTTATAAAGTTTCTCTTGTTTTAAGTACAATAATTACCACTGGGAAATATTTATACTGGATCATGTTTGGTTCTCATTAGTGCTGTTGTTGTTAAGATACCATTTTTTTAAAAGTCCATGTTTCATTTACGTATTTGGAGGATTTTGAACTGGCCACTGTCCTTCTCTGACCTCTCACATAAACTACAATTTGATAGGCAGAAAAGTCAAGAATCCTCCTGTTTTTTACACTCTTCCTATTAAAAAATATTGCCATTTTAGGAAATGGCCTTTTATCAGGTACGCGTCTTCAACTTTAATTTTACATATCTTCATCTTCATCAGAACATTGAGCTGTTGTTCTATCTGTATGTTTTCCTGAGAAAATGACTCTGATTATCTCCTGGGGCATAAATAAGGAAAGGAGATATTTGCAGAGGGGTTGGGGAAGGAAGCATGCTTTTGAAGGTTTTATAAAACAGTGAAACAGGTGTTTTCAATGCTTGTCTTATAAACTGGGCATTTCGAGTTTTGATATGTAGAATTAGATTTAAAAAAAAATATGCATGCGTAGGTTAGTGCCATACAAAGGGGAGACAAGTATGAAAATAAAATAAGAAATTCTGACTTGCCTCAAACCATCCAGGGTTACTAGAGGCATAGCAGCTAGCATGGCTCTTTGTAAGTACAAATACTAGTTGCTTTTGACTCTTATTGAAAAAATAATATCTTTCCCCCTGTTTGTCACTAGAACTGCCACCAGAAGAAAAGCCCTTCATTTGCCCCAAATAAGCACCTCTGTTTTTCACAGCTTGCAGTAATGCTTAAAGTAAATAAGTTCTTGTGCAGCTAGCACTATTGGATTCATTCAATTGCTTGAACAAAGCTATTGTTTAGAGGTTTACAACAAGCCTTTTCTCTGTTTCCTTTCAAAGACTCTTCCTTGTTCCTGTGGTTGGCATGCTTAGTATAGTAAGCCTTTTTACAATTTTCAAATGCTAAAGATAATTTTCCCCCACAGAAGAAATGAAGGAAGACTATGACACTATGGGGCCGGAAGCCATGATCCAGACCACAATTAACAATGGTACAGGTAAGTGAAGCTGACCGCACCAAGCTCACATTTGCACTGTCATATGGATCTAGCGACTCGGGGAAAGAAACACTGACCCTTCCATCTGTAATTCCATGATTTCACAATCAAGTTAGACATTACACGTCTCCTGTTTTGTTGCAAATTAGAACTCTCTATATTTTGGCATTTTATTCAGCAAATATATCTTAAACCCTTCATTTTCCTGTGAACATTGAGAAAGGTGAAGTGGATGACTAAACCCTTTCAAATCATGAGTTTGGCAAATTTCTGTAAGTAATTTTTACTTTAAAAGATTGCACAAATGATTTTAAAATCAGAATATAATATGCCTCATCTAGGCACCACTTGCTATTTGTCATTCAGGATTCAAATGATACAGTGTAATTTTGTTTGTAAAATGTGTTGTTTTTTTTTTTTTTTTTTTTTTTTTTTTTTAATTTTTTAAATATATTTTATTGATTTTTTACAGAGAGGAAGGGAGAGAGATAGAGAGTTAGAAACATCGATGAGAGAGAAACATCGATCAGCTGCCTCCTGCACACCTCCCACTGGGGATGTGCCCGCAACCCAGGTACATGCCCTTGCCGGAATCGAACCCGGGACCTTTCAGTCCGCAGGCCGACGCTCTATCCACTGAGCCAAACCGGTTTCGGCAAATGTGTTGTTTTTTTCAGAAAGATAAACCAAATTTCCATGAACATCCCTCACAGAAATTGATCATTTGAGTTTCTCTTTATTCTGTCTTTACTTTTAATGCTCAGTGCCCTCTAACCCTTCCAAATAATATTGTCTAAGCAAAGGTTTTATAAAGAAAAACTGACAGTTTTAATTCTTTTTAGTGGAGCTAAAAAAAAAAGGACAGTGGGCAGGTAGTCAGTGGTATTTTGTTTTCCTGGGCTCCTGCTGCAGGATGGAGTCTCCAGACAAAGTCCATGTTCTGTCCCCCAACAGCATCTTCTCTCACATTCTCACGGCACCAGTGCAAATTTACATAGACTCGCTGTGTTTACCTCTTTTCCTGAATAAGGCTAATTACTGTTGGTGTTTCAAACAGCCCTTCACACTACCATTACAAATATTAGCATAGTGCCCAGTATTCAGGCTCTCTTCCAACACAACACCAAAAAGTAAAATAAAATCACATAATGACTTCCACTCAACTCACCAATCGAAAAAAAGTTACGGTTTTATGAAGTTTTAGAAGTGTGAGTAATTACGGTTATATTCATATTTCTCTTACGTTGATGAACATCATAATAAACCGCTCAGGCTGTGCTTCTATTTAGAATGCTTTCATTAATAAGGTACAAGGTAGTAATTCACTTTCTTGGGTATAAAATAAGAAAAATAATGAAAATCTAGCTACAAAAATAAAACTGCACAATATGGGATTTTGGAACATGTATAGAATCCTAATATTTAGGTACAGCCCTGGAAGTAACTAGCTTCTGACCTAGGGCAAGTCAGTTACCCTCTTTGGAATTCACTCTCTACACCTGAAAAATAAATAGATTGAACTAGTTGCTTCTTAAGAGTGTTTCTAGTTTTAATAGTCTCTGTTGCAGGGGTACCCTCACCATGTAAAATAGAAACATGAAAAAATAACTTTATATAAAAGCATCATAATAAATACCATAAATAAGATACTTTCTACAATGTCCCAACTCATGAGATCAAATATGGATTCATGTTTCTTTTAAAAATAAATATTAAATTTCAACTTCAAGCATAAATAAATGCTAATTTTATTACCTTTATAGGCAGTTGAAGTGTCACAAAAGTAAATTTATTCCACAAAGTGACAATTTACTGGCTGTTTTACACACTTAAAGTTTAAAGGGAAATTAATAAAAAATGTTTCTATTCAGAAGATTTAAAAATCAATTTTGAATGTTCTTTCATCTACCTTTAAGATGCCTTTTCTCATACTGCTTGCTACTCCTTATAGTTTATATGTATTCAGTCAATAAATAAATCAATAAGTATCCATTGACTGTCTTCTCTATGTTCACTGTTGTGGGTATGTGTGGTAGAAGACGGGTCAGGTAGTCCAAGACATGGTTATTATTTAATATGGAAGATGAGGCTTACACTCAAAAAATAATAATGAACAGTAAGTGAAAATATGTGATAAATATGCAACAAATGTCAAGAACCATAATTATTTCAAATTACGGAAGTAAGAGAAATCCCATCGTGTTAGTATTTAGAAAAGGTTTTATGATGGTGCTGAAACTTGAACTAAATACATTTTCCATAGTCATAGAGGAGTGAGGAAGAGCTTTCTAGCAAAGGAGGAGTATGTTAGTCAATGAAGGAAACTGAGATATTTATTCAGGGACTAGGAAAAGGATTGGCCAGGTCCTAGGAGGCAATTCATGGGAAATGAAGTGAACATTTTAAGTTGAAGCCAGCTGATGGAGAACACAAAGCAACAAACACAAGTTTGGGTCATGTTAAACTACCATGATTTCTTTGGGGGGAAAAACCAACTAGAAGTCACTGTAGTCATTCAGGTGTAAAGTGATAAAAAGCTTGTCCTAGGGTGGTGACAATGATGAAATTAGCAACATGACCTCTTACGGACCCATTGATTCTCTTAGTGATGGAGTCAAAATAGCTTCAAGATTACACTTTGTGTGTTTAGAATATGGTAATACTTGCTATTTCTAGATAAACAGAAAAAAAGATCCAATTTTGGGGAGAAGACCTTGAGCTGGTTTTTAGACACAAATATTTTCATATAAAGATTAGACAAATATACAAGAAGAAAAGAGAATGTCCATTGGAAATGAAGAATTGAAACCCAGGAAATCAGGGCTGGCTATAGATACTTGAGAGTCATGAAAATATATTCAGATAGTATTTAATATTTTGGGACGATGAGACTTACAATTGAGAGTGTGTTTATTGAAACAAGTAGAAAGCTGAGGCCAGGGTTCCTGATGGGTAGAAAGAAAAGTCAAATTCATTGAAAGAAAAAGATTTTAAGAGAGAAAAAATATGAAATATTCAGAAGGCAAAGAAAGAAAGTTTCAAAGGGGAGAGAATGGTCAATTCAATCAAAAGGTTCAAATAACTACAATTGTGAAAGAATGTTGAGCAAATACAATCAACTTGGTAATTGGGAATTTACTGCTGATCCTCAGTTTATAACTCAGCCCTGTTAGAGAATGAATATATATCTCTTCCCAACTATAAGTTTCTATTTCTTCTCTCTAGCATCTTTTTAGATGCTAAATACATGGGAAATTGAAATAAGACATGTTTTCTGGTTGAAATTACTTATTAATGAACCACATATTTCTCTTCACCCAAGTCCTTCTGATGAGGATCCCACTGACCTCTAGCCATCCCAACTTAACTGGTATCTTCCTCAATGAACTCTTATAGAACAAATCAGCTAACCTTTCCATAGAGGCTGTAGTGTGTTGTTAATTAATATGTTGTCTTTTCCAAATTAGATTGCAAACTCTAAAAGCCTGGATTGTTTCTTAGGCTACCACATTGTCTATAAGTGTGCCTTAAAACTAATAGGCTCTAAATAAATGTTTTTTATTAATGAATGAATATAGAACTGTTTAACATCAGATTCCATTTTTCTTTTCTAATCAAAGCAGAGCCAGTAGACACTAGAATATGTACACATTTTTAAAAAGTTTCCCTAACCTTTTTGGCTCAGTGGTTAGAGTGTCGGCCCCCTGACTGAAGGGTCCCAGGTTCGATTCTGGTCAAGGACACGTGTACCTTGGTTGCAGGCTCGACCCTTGGCCCCTGTTCGGGCACGTACAGGAGGCAACCAATCGATGTGTTGTATCTCTCTCATATCGATGTTTCTCTCTCATATCGATGTTTCTCTACCTGTGTCTCTCCTCCTCCCTCCCGCTCTGTCTAAAAATCAATGGGAAAAAAATATCCTCGAGTGAGGATTAACAAAACAAACAAAAAAAGTTAAGCAATTTTTCTGATAAAAAATTGTTATTAACTGGAATAACTTTTAGAGGGACGACAAAGACAATGTCTCTAATATTTCTCTCTGAATGCTCATCACACAAAATTCATTCCTAACTAAACGTAAAGACAAGACCTCTGAAGTTCTTCCTCAATTTTACAATTCTACTAAATAGTAAAGTTTAACTTTATATGAATAAAATCGTCTTTTAGAATCTGAAAGCATTTCCTTCAAAATATATTCTGCTGAGTTTAAATCTGTAAGAAGAAGTGGGAAGGTTTAGTTGAATTGAATCACAGCATTCTAAAATTAAAAGTTACACTCCAGAACAATTCCTTAACTGTAATTTGATAGTTGAGGAAACTAGAAAAAAAAAAACATGCCACATAGCTAACTGATGGCAGATTTGGAAATAAATCTAAGTCACCAGACATATCCTTTTGCCTCAAAAGGGTTCCCACCACTCTGAGGAGCTGATGCTGCTAAAAACGATGGCATCATCTTTGACATTTACCTACTTTGATTAGTCATTAAACACTATGAATTCTACTGTCACACTGTCATACATCACTTGTATCATTTTAAATCCTCATCTTTCATTTGAGTATTATAATATCTTGCTAACTGGGCCCCCTGTTTTCAATTCCTAGTTTCTTTAATACATTCTTCACCCTAGCAAAGTAAGTTAGGAGTTGTTTTTCTGACACTTAGGGCAGATGGATAATTGTAACTCATCCCCCATTCCATTTCAGACTCAACCTTGAATGGTTCTCCATTGGTTTCAGAATGAGGAGGCTTTTGAGCTGAGTTGGCACCTCCATGATCTAACTCCATCTTGCCTTTAACACCACTGCCCAGAATATACCCCAGCTCGGGAAGGCTGCTTACTATTTATACCCCTTTGCTTTTGCTCATGGTTTTCCTTCAACCTAGGAAGCCATTGTTCTTTCTTAGCCTGAAAGCTTTCTTAGCCTAACAGCATCACACACCCTCTTAAAGGCCATCTCCACCATCTCCATCTCATCATCTCCAACTCAGGATTAAC